TACCTCCAAATAGCAAAAATTCTGTAATGTTGTGGCACTATCGGCTAGGCCACCCAAATTTTATATATTTAAAAAGAATGATTCCCACATTATTCAATAAAAATCAAGAGTTGTTTCAATGTGAAATATGCCAATTGTCCAAACATACCCGCAGCTCCTACCCTCCTCAACCTTTCTCCCTAATTCATAGCGATATATAAGGACCCGATCAATTGGATTTTTATAACATTATTTCCTCTCATTCCTAGCTCATTAATCCTCTTTTGTGCCTAATTGGTTGAATTGGATCATTTTATTATGTTTGAATTTTATTTGGGCTTTATTTAATTTTTTCATTATTTGACAAATTCTGATACTGTTTTGGTTTCTGGACCATATCTTGAGTTGTAGAACTCCTTTTATTGTGATTCTTGATTTGTAGGAAAGCTAAGAGAAAGGTGCACAATTCTTATGAAAGGTCAAAAACCAATTCTGATGATAAGAAGCTGAAACTGGGCCTGAAAAAAGTCAGAACGCTGCAGTCGCGGATCCTGAGCAAGGTGCAGTATTTGGACCATATCTCAGTCCACAGACATCCAATTAAGCCCATTCCAGTGGCGTTTTGAAGCTGACATCCAAGGCTACAATTGTCTTTTAGGCCACCAATCAAAAGGAGGCCGTTTTCATAGCCGAAAAAAAGGAACAAAATGACGAACGAAATTTTGAATTTTTAATTTTTTTTTTTTTTTTTTTTTTGGCTCTTCTCTTTTCTCTTTTCTCTCTTCTCTCTCTCTCGTTCTCTATCCCCTTTACGACTTGTTTCCCTCCATCCATGGAGGCTTAGTTTTCCATCTAATTCAAAGATTAAAAGAGACGGGACACTCTTGAGGATTGATCTCACATTGGCATAAATTCAATAACAATTTCGGTTTCATCTCTTCCTTATTTTCTTCTATTGCTAATTATATTTTTGAATTGAAATTATTCGTTTGGATTGATGATTATGCATCTGGTTGATTATGTATTATTCGATTGATGTATGTAATTGAGTTTTAAGGAACATGAATTGGATTTTCAGGTTTGAAAACTACGATTAACGGCATTGGTAAATTAAATTAGCACAATTTAATTAGGTTCTAAAGTTTTCTGAATTTTAATTAATTGTGTTAATCGAATGCATGAAAGTTTTCATGTGAATGCTGAGTTCGAATTGAGGTTTCATTCGGATTCATTGTTAATTACTGAATTGTTTGTTGATGTACTCTCTTAAAAATCCGGTGATAGAGTAGTCATTTTTCTTCTTAATTCTTGGATTGGAATTTCAATTTCTGTTCACTCTTTATTCTAATTATAATTAAGTTCGTTTTGTTTCTTTTATAAACAAACCCCCCGTTTTATATACTCTCTAAATAGATTAATTTGTTCTTGTGATTCTTTGAGAAACGACCCTAGTTGCTTACCTCGTACTATAGTAATTAGGTGTATTTTGACCCATGTGCGACCACGTGTCAGGACCATCACGGGTAAACAATGTCACTAGATCAAGATGGTTTGTCACCTTCATTGACAATCACACACGGGTCACTTGGGTTTTCCTAATGAAAGAAAAATCAGAAGTTGGCAGAACATTTGAACTATTTCATACTATGATGGAAACACAATTTCAAAGCAAAATTAAGGTACTTAGGAGTGACAATGGCCGAGAGTACTATCACTCTGCACTCAATTCCTACCTTCAAAAACATGGAATCATACATCAAAGTTCATGCGTTGATACCTCTCAGCAGAACGGGGTCGCCGAGAGAAAGAATAGACATCTTCTAGAAGTGACTAGATCTCTCATGTTAGCTACAAATGTACCAAACCAATTTTGGGGAGAAGCTATCCTCTCTGCAACCTACCTCATCAACAGAATGCCCTCCCAAATCTTCAACTTTAACACCCCTTATTCTACTCTCCAAACCTCATTCCCTACTAGTCACAACAAACTTGACCCGAAATCCATTAAATGCATTTTTCTCAGCTACTCCCCTCACCAAAAGGGGTACAAATGCTATTCCCCTCAAACTAGGAAATTTTAACACACCATGGATGTCACCTTTTTTGAGAATCAGCCTTATTACCCCAAAGTTGGCATTCAAGGGGAGTAGACTTATCCAACTGAAGTGATAGAATCTCAACTTTTGGGATTTGAGCTAACCAAGCCAACCGAGACTGCACCTGTAACAGAAGAAACTGCAGTAGATGCAACAGAAACTGCACCAACTGAATCTGCCCCAAATGCAGAGCCAGCCAAGAATACACCTACAGCAGAGGAAACTGCAGTAGCAAATGCAGAGCCAGCCAAGAATGCACCTGCAGCAGAGGAAATTGCAGTAGATACAATAGAAACTACACCAACTAAAGCTAGAGAAAGAACGGCACCTCAGCAGAATCAAGGCCCTGCTGCAAAAGGAGACAACTGGACGATATACTTCAGGAAGAGAAGGAAGGGAGTAGAGTCCAGCACAGCTCCAAGGCAAAGCCATGAATCCAACCAGGCTCCAGAAAATGAGTTTTCCTTAGGTAATATTGTCTCTAATCATGAATCTAATGATGAAATTGACATTCCTATTGCCTTAAGAAAAAGGGTGAGATCTTGCACTCAACACCCCATTGAGAAATATGTGTCCTATGGAAAATTGTCACAGGGGTACAAGTCTTTTGTGGCAGCTCTTGACAACACACATATCCCAAGGAATGTTCAAAAGGCATTCCAACAACCTGAATGGGCAGCAGCTATAACAGAAGAAGTTCAGGCCTTGATTAAAAATGGCACATGGGAAATCACTACTCTACTGGAAAGGGAAGAAATTGATTGGATTCAACTGGATATTCTCCATCAAATACAATGTCGATGGTAATATAAACCGGTACAAAGCCCGACTAGTGACAAAAGGTTTTACCCAATCGTATGGAGTGGACTACGAGGAGACTTTTGCACCGGTGGCCAAACTCAATTCGATCCGAGTCATACTCTCTTTAGCTGCAAATTTAGATTGGTCACTCTATCAACTAGACATCAAGAATGCCTTCCTAAACGGTGAACTAGAAGAAGTCTATATGCAAATTCCCCTGGGACTTGAATCATCCAAAACCTCAAGCATGGTGTGCAGGCTCCGAAAATCTCTATATGGCCTTAAGCAATATCCGAGAGCGTGGTTTGATAGATTGACTCGAGTTGTCAAGGAAGACGGATTCAACCAATGCCAAACAGATCATACTATGTTTGTCAAACACTCTGTGGAAGGGAAGTTAGCCTTGTTCATCGTTTATGTTGATGGTATTGTTATCACAGGAAACGATTATGATCAAATCCAGCATCTGAAGGGACTTTTGGCCAAGGAATTTGAAGTTAAGGACTTGGGACAGCTCAAATATTTTCTAGGGTGGAAGTTGCTCGAACAAAGAATGGTATTTATGTGTCACAAGAAATACACACTAGACTTACTTCAAGAAACCAGCATGCTTGGGTGCAAGGCAGCCAATACTCTAATAGAACCGAAAAAGAGAGGTGAAGAAGAAAGTCCACCAGCTGATAAAGATAGATATCAAAGCCTAGTTGGGAAGCTAATCTACCTAACTCACACTAGGCTCGACATTGGGTTTGTTGTGAACTTGGCTAGTCGCTATACATCTAATCCAACTGAGGCCCACATGAAAGCGGCGAACAGAATACTCCAATACCTCAAAGGTACACCAGGTCGAGGGCTCCACTTCAAGAACTCAAACAGAGGCATTGAAGTCTATACTGACGCAGATTGTGCAAGATGCCCCTTTGACAGGAAATCAACTACAGGCTACTGCTCCTTTGTGTGGGGAAACTTGGTGACTTGGAGAAGCAAGAAGCAGCCTGTGGTCCCAAGGAGTAATGCAGAAGCTGAATTCAGAGCTATGGCTCAAGGTATCTGTGAAAGAATCTGGCTTAAGAGATTGCTGGATGAAATCAGAATTCCTATCAATTACACTATGAGGATATTATGTGACAACAAAACCGCTATAAGCATTGCAAAGAAGCCAGTCCACCATGATAGGACAAAGCATGTGGAGATTGATCGACACTTCATTGAAGAAAAAATTGACCATGGCATTATAAAGAGTTGACCATGTTCCATCATGCAGACAAACAGCAAACATTCTGACAAAGGCTCACCCAAGGAACACATATGAAAACATTAGATCCAATTTGAGTATGATAGACATCTACCACCCAAATTGAGGGGGAGTGTTGGAGATCAGCGCATATCAATCAAAATCTATTACAGATCAGCACATATCAATCAGAATCATCCCATTCTGATTTGTACAGCCCATAATAGGATTTAATGTTAATAAGATCAGTTTTATTTCCTTATTTAGGGATAGCATTTATAGGGAGAATTATTTCCCTGATTTTCAGGGATAGATTAAATGTACAGTTTTATTTCCTTGTATTCTATTTATACCTCTTTTGTATTTTTTCCAAATAAGAAAAATATACTTCGTATTTTTCCACAAATATAGACCCAAAAACTAACATAACACGACTTACGTATATATTTATGTCTATCATATCAGTGGTGCTGGAAATTCAAGTCAACTCATGAAAATCTTTAGAAATAATACTATAAACTAATTTCCTGCCAAGATGGCTAAAATAGCAAATTTAAAACAGAAAAATACCAAATATGTAGAATGATAGAATATTTTGTGGAAGGTATTTCCCCGGTTATAACAATTCACATAACATAATTGCCAACAAATCATGTGAACAAAACAGATACAAGCGCATGCACCATACATGTTACTTAAGACCAAATATCCAACTAAATCACATCCATTTCAGTAAAGAAAATTATAAAAATAAATATCCAACAAAACCACATCCACTTTTCAGCAAAGAAATTCAGGATTCGATGGCCCCATCATGTCTTAAAGGTTCAGAATTAAAGTCTTACAGCTTAAGAAAATCAATACATCATAACTAAAATTGCTTCTATCTTAAAAGCCTAATAACCAAAACTCTCCATTCATGGATAAGAGAAGTCATGGCACCATTCAGTCTCCTTTCTTCCTAAAGGAGCAACCTTCGGTTAACCTTGCCCGTCCACCAGTCGGTTGGCACAACACTGTCTGGCAATTACCGCATACCACAACTGTCTGAGAGTGGCTAAATACAGTGGTTCTGCATCCCAGTTAAAAACATAACATAATTAAATTCACATTTAAGTTATTTAAATATCATCACAATCAAGTGAAATAAAAGAAAATCCAACTTACATGTTGAAACAACCCTGGCACTTAACATCCTGCAACAAATAATTAACAGACAAATAATCAAAACTTCACATCCTCTGAACAGGGTTTATCATAAAAAACAGTGATTGTAAAATTATGTAGCAAAGCAATTTTACATTTCAAATCAAGAAATAATAATAATAGTATAAAACAAAAGGGCATTGAATACCATGAAGAAGGAATTTGGGGACTGAACAAGACGCTTGAGTTTGTGCTTTCTCTTCTCCAACTCCGCAGGGGGATTCAGCAAATCAATATCGTTCTGAAGAACCTACTCACACACAAAAACCAATTTTCATTCTGGATAATGATAGTCTTCTAAAATATAAAAATAAACAATATTCCTCGAAAAAAAATAAAAACAAAAAACAATAAGGATTGCGTAAACTATGTTATTGAACCAGACCCAGACATCCTCTGGGAAGCTGAATCGAGAACAGGCCGAAGCAAAATACAGTATGGTGAAGCTGGCAGGGCGGGTATATATATATATATAAATTGCGTAGATGATTCAAAACCAGTAAGAAGAGAGCGAAGTGAAGCATCTTTCTTCACACATTAACTAGTGGAACTGAACGGCTAAATAAACCATAGGTAAAATTTTTGTATTTGCTTGCACTGCACAGTCTAAGCAGAATATTGGACTGACATTAATATCACTAGCAGCTGGCGATGGATTGATGATTGCGAGAAGGACTGACATCAATGCGAATTGTTATTGTGACCCCTAGCTTCGATTAAAAGATTGTTTGTATGCGAGCTTGAGGTAGCAAAATATTGAAATAAAAGTGGAAAAAAAAACACGATAATCTTTTTGTTCAAAGGGGAAGATTGTATAGAGAGTTAGAAGAACAAAACAACCAAGGAACGGTTACTCACCATCTTGAGATAACAGCAAACCTCCAAGAGAAAGGCTTAACCTAGGTTTTGCACAAGAGCACAGAGCGACGTGGGAAAAACGAATTTGAAGGCTTTTAGCCTTTTCTTTTTTTCATCCAATTTATAAAGCGTAAAGCGGTTTCTTTTTTGCTTTGGGTTTGGTTTATTAAGCCCATGCTCTCTTTTATCGAAAAATAAATTTTAACAAAAATTAATAATTACATTTTTTTAATTTTTAAACACAGAAAATATTGTTGTAAAGGAAAAATTTATCGTAACATGTTTCATAATTTTATATTTTATACAGAAAATAAAAACATTAAATTTGTATGTTTAGCATTTATTCTCTCAAGGGTAATTTTTATTTGATTTTTTATATTTTAAAAAAATTAATTTAGTATTATTAAACTCAACACAAATCAACTGACATAATCAGTAGATTGGAGAGTTCACTCGACCCGAACTTATTTTATATTATTTAATAATATATTTTGCATAGTTTAAATTACTATGAAAAATTATAAATAAAAATACTTTAGTAATAATACTATTCATATGCAAGAGTAAAGTTATTTTTTAGAATTTTCATCTTTTTTTCTCTCTGAAAGATAATAATTATGGCATGCATATGCAAAAATAAAAAATTATTTAAAAAACTGCAATTATATCATTTTGAAAACTATAATGTTAAAGGAAATATTAATTATTTATAAATTAATTTTGTAATTTTTATGTGTTATAAATTTTCTTCATGTAATTTAGATATTAATATCTTTTTATAATAATATTTTTCTTTATCATATCAGAAGATATATGTCTTTATAAGATTTTCACTTATAAAGAAATTTTATTTGATATTGATGTCAACTAGTTAGCATTCCGTGAATATGCACGTGTTTTATTTTAAGATAAATATATATATAATTAAAAAATTAAATAACAAAATTTGATATTCTTGTAAATAATAATTTTATATAAAATTATTTTTTTAATTTTACAAACATAAATAGTATATATTAAAAGTATAAATATTTAATAAAATTACAAAAAAATTAAATTTTAATTTAATTTAAAATAATGTTTTTATTATATACTACCAAATAAGTTTTACTTAAATGTTAATATAAATTTATATTAATAAAAATATAAATAAGTGAACTTAAATAAAATAAAATATTATGCAAATTTGTTTGAGAAAATTATTTAAAAAATTATCGGAAAATAGTGTAAATTTTGAGAAAAATACACTAAAATAATAAAGTTTGCAGTTGTCTATCAGAAAAAAGATTTATTTTACATAAAACTAAAGATGAGTAGTTAGTGAGAATTGGAATAATATAAATAATAAATTGAGGATTATAAATTTTATAAATGTAAATATTATCAATAAATTTAAAATTTTATATAAATAATGAAAGAAAAATTATAAATATGAAAATAGGTATACTTGAAAAAAAATTTAAATATAAGTATTCATGAAAATTTTAACAATTTATGTAAAATAATAAAAAAAGGTAAAGTAACAAATTTATATCATTTAAATTTATAATAAAATTAAAAAAGATTAAAATAAAAAGTAAAATTATGATAATAAAAAATATTATAATTTATATTATTATAAATTTATTTTAATTTCAAAATATTCACGTGATTAACTATAAAAAAAAAAAAGTAACACTATTATAATTTATACTAATATGTGTATTCATTCTGATGACATAAATATTAATACAATTTTTTTCCTTAAAATCCAACTATTTATTTATATAATTTAAATATTAACAATTTTCATAACAAAGTAGATTTTTTTCTTTAATTTAAATATTAACATATTTTATATAAATTTGTTAATATTGTGAGATATAAATATTAAATTTTATAATTTAAATTTTTATATTTTTTAAAAAAATTTATTTATATAATATAATATCATAATCCCCTGCACACATAATTTTTAAAAATATTTACAAAGATAATAATAAAATTATAAAGCTTAAAGGCTTAAGATATAATAAAAATATGTAAACTATAGAGTAAATTATTGAATCTAGGTATAAAACATAAAAAAAAACAGTTTACAATCATATTTATAATTATATATTTTATATTTTTTATTTAAATATAATATATTAATATATTAAATTCTCATCTCATGTAATATTTTCCTATGTGACTAAAATATTTATTGTTATAATTTAAACGATCACAAACTTTCAGCAGAGCATTAGAAATATTTTCTACTGATTTTAGTTAATTTTTAAACATTAAGTTACAGATGATAAAAAAATATTAAAAGTACATACTTTTAAAGTAATTTTATTTCTAATAGAATTTCTTTAAAAAAAATTTATAATTTTTTATTTTTAATATTAATTTTAGCCATATAAAAATAAATATTATTAAAAAATTTATATTTTTAATTTAATAATTTTTTAATTAATAAAAAATAAAATTATTTTTTCTTCCTTTAACTTTAGAATAAAATTTACTTTAATCTTTTAATTTTTTTAATCAATTTAGTTCTAAATTTTTCTTTTCTAAACTTAATTTTTTTCATTAACGGGTGACGCTAAAATGACCTAACATCATTTATTAATTTAAATTTAAATTTTTTATTTAAGAAATTATTTGAAAATAACAAGATTTATTCAGGTTGCGCTCACTCTTTTGTACAATTATATTTGATCTATATGATATTGTATTGAATAAAAAATAATTTACTAATAGATAAATATGGTATAATTTACATTAAAAATAAAATAAAATTTAAGTTTAATACATAAGTATTTTTAAATTAAAATTTCATCTAAAAAATATGAAATATCATTAAATCAAATATTTTTTAAGATAAAATCATAACTTTAATTAATAAATAATATAAATAACACCTAAAAAAATAACATATAAGTTTTATTAAAAAATTGCACACATACGCTGAACTTTAAGCACAAAACAATGTTAGGCTACTGTTGAGTAACTTTCTAAGGAAAGTAAAAGTTTACACAAACCACGTTATTATACTGTAATTCAGTTTCCAATGATAGTTAAAATAGTCAACATACATGAATCCATAAATCTATAACTATAATGTTATATGATAATGTTATATTTATTATTTTTTAATATTTTAAACCTTTTATTTATTTATTATTATCTATCACTTCATTCACTTGTTTTTTTGTATTCTAACATTCTGAACTTATGTTTTTATATTTTTATAATCATATATATATATATATATATATATATATATTAAAAAAGGAAAAGAAAAGTATATTTTTAAAAAGTATAAAATTCTTATTATATACATTAAAAAGAAAAAATAAAAATATACATCAATATAATTTAACATTATGAGAAAAAGATTTAAAAAATGATAATTTTTATTTAATTAAATTAAATATTAAAATTATAAATAGAAGAAAATAAAATAAAAATTATTTTTCTTTAAAATCTTTTTTTTTATGAGACTAAAATTTATCAATAAAAGAGAATAAAATATGAATTTGGTGAAATTTAAGGAGTAGAAATACATGTTTTATCTTAATTTGTGCTTAATTATAATACTAATGATCAAATCTTTATTTGAGATTTTATTTCATCATAATCAGATTTCTTAGCTACAAGAATAATTGCCTTTAGGTGAGGGCTGAGAGAGAATTTCCAACTTCCACTCTACCAGTTCAAAATACATTGATTTTAATCTATAAAATTTGTTTATTAAAATTCCAAACATACATAGTAATTATAAAAATATAAATTAAATAAAAAATTAATTAAAAGCATTAAATTTTATCATAATATAATCTAAATTACAAATCATGATAATCTAAAATTTAGTAATTATAAAAAAATTATAATTCTTTTAGCTAATGGTTTATTCAATTTTTTTTTTATTATTTATTAATGAGTTGAACAATTTAAAATGGTTTGGATCAATTTTTTAACATTCCTACACCTTTAACACATGCCTTTTTTTATGATAAAAAATTCATAAACTAAAATACTCATGTACAATTAAAGAATAATAACAACGTTACAACCATGTACAAGAAGAGCAAATAGACCCCTACTAAAAACCAATCACAATTTAACGATGTTATAAATTCTAAATACAACAAAATAAAATAAAAGAAAAATCTTATTTCTCTCCCAAAATACCAAACAACATAAACATTCGTACAAAATCCAACAATTCATCACATTACTAGGCTAACAAATATTGATTATCTATCTAAAAGTTATAAATGTTAATTACCATATTTTTGGGGCTCAACATATATGACTTCATGTTCAAAGGTTCTCCTGAATACATCGGCCATTCCCGTATGAGCACGTTAGGTCTGATAATTCAAAGCTATTGCACTTTATAATTCTATAAAAGATGAAATGAAGTTGTTACATATGTAGCCACATGTTGGGAAGCCGCGTACTCTCTATATTCGAGGACGGAGAAAACTCTTAAGAAAAGAGAAGAGTAAGGGAGAGAAAATATTTTTTTCATACCCTTCATGACGGTATATACAATCATAAATAACTAACCCTTCTAACAATATTTTCTAATGGGTACAAATGTGCAGTACGCAAATGGGATAGGTTCTAGAACTTTGCTGACTCATTAACTAATAGTGAATAAAATCATCCCACCCTGTAGGCTTGTGACTCGCACGTTTGGGCCTCTCATTGCTAATAATAGTATTGCTTGAAGGGGTTACTGCAACAATACCCTCCTCATGAGATTCAACCTTGTCCTCAAGGTTGTACAAGGATTTCAGCTCATCCCAATTTTCCCAAGAGGTGTCGTCAGGAGATAGACCCAGCCAC